TCTCGATGAATCAGGCGAATCACGCAAGACTTTATCCAGGATCGGTAAAATCCTTGGGTTCACTGTTGACCGTACTCGTCACAAGTTGCGAAAAATGTCTTAGATGTTCAATAAGTGTTTATTAGCCGATAGAGTGTTGAAACACAAGTAAAACACGATGTTGTACTTCGACTAATCCTACCAAGACTGCGCCAGTTAGGTTTTTACTTAATAAAAAACACTTTTAATTATAAAAGACAAAAATTTTACAACTAAATGGCAGAGTTACGTACAATATGAGATGCAAACAGAGAATAATCTTTACATATGTAATTGCAGTTTTTAATGAGAAACTAAAAATGCTAACTAAACAAATTAGTGGTGGCTCACATAACTTATATATGACATATTATATGTATATGTATATATATATATATATATATATATGTATAATATACATTGTATATATATATATACAAAATTATATCATTGCTGCGTCCATACATTTATAAAATCCCTATTCTTATTGCTTCAACGACCTTACTGCATCAGTATATCTGACGCACTAATGTCAAGCGCTTATTTCTTAAAATTTACTTCATCCCAGCACTTTCTAAGATTCTTGGTAATACAGATCTGTGTAGAATTTAATGCCCAATTTTTGTGTCTAAAAATTTTTTATGTCCGACCCTGCGTTTTTTAAATATTTAGAAAAATTTGAACACAAAAAATGTGCAGCAACATACTAAAAATGGAAAAAATGTGTATATTTAGTTCAACCCATTTGACGATGAGGGCGTTGCGATAATATACGTTTTTCAATATACGTGTTTTTAAATACTGTATGTTGTTGCGTCGCACAATTTGACAACGTCTCGCCTATGATTTTAATATTTGAATTAAACTCACGATACTGTTGCGAATGGTTACCATTCAATGGTAGCGCTGTCTCTCTCGCACCGTGTGACGTCACGCTAGAGACAGTTGTTCTTTCGTTTAAATGTAATCATATTATAATCTTGGGGCGCGCGTCGAGTTTTATGAAATTTACAATTATGACGGTCGATTTATTAAAACTGATTGTAAGATAAAATTGTTTTCTACATAAGTAATTGTGACAATGTATTTTTTAAATTATATATGCAGATGCAGATTTAAAGGCAGAAAAACGATTATCATTTTTTTACGCTTATAATCGTAAAAAAATGATCATCGTTTTTCTGTTAATTTTACTATTTCAAAAATAATAAAAGTTTTTCATGTTTTTAGATAGGTACTTAAAAAAAAAGGTTAATATCAATGTAAATAACTACAATGTGTTTTATGTTATTAACAGGTAATTCAAAAAAAAAATTTAAAAAGTAAAACATCAATGTTATAAATACAGGGTGTTTCTACTAAAAATTGACAATCTAAATTAGGCTTTTTAATAAATATTTTTCAATTGAGCTTTTGTTTTTGAATTATCAAACTTTGTTTTGAAGTAAAACTTTTTATGTAAGATATTTATGGGCGGATTAAAAAAAAATTAGTTTTTAGTAAATTATGAAATTTTTTCTTTAGTATCTTTAGTAGATTTATTACAGTTTTTACACAAAATAACAAAAACACAATACAAATTTGAATGTCTTATAATAAAAATTATTATAATTTTAATTATTGTAATAATAATAATATTACATCATATTATAATAATAACATTACTAAACAAAATTAAACATAATAATATCATTAAACAATGCAGTAGCAAGTTAAATAAGTAGTTTCGAAACTCGAATGTTGAGCGGTCCATGGAATGTCACCCCGTCCATTATCTCTATGTTCAGGCATAATTAAATACATGTAAATCTTAAAATCAAATAATACCACACAATGTTAGTTAAAAAATATTGTCTTAATTTTAAAAACATCCCCCGGGGGCGTGGCAAAAATTATTTTTAAAAATTAAAAAAAAAACAGCTTATAAAAATACCCTTCTCACAACTTTTTTTTAACTAAGTGAGATTTCCAAAAATAATTATTTCAGGCCAGCCTACCGAATTTCTAATTTTTGCCGCGCCCCCGCGGGGATTGAATGTTTAAAAAAAATTTTTTAACTTACATTTTGAGTTTGGCATATTGAAAAACTATAAGGTATTAACTCACTTGTAACACAAAAAAAATCTTGTTAATAAATTTTAATTTTAAGCCCCTCCCCAAAGCTTTTAAAGTTCTAATATGCAGCGTGGTGCGCGGCGTAAAATTAAAATATATAAATATTTTTTTTTGTGTAATAGTTTCTTAATATGCCAAATTCAAAATTTAACTTAAAAAATATTTTTTATTGAATTTTGAGGAATTTCAACCCCCGGGGGCGCGGCTAAATTTGTTTTAAAAAATTTGAAAAAAACAGCTTATTTGTGTACCCTTCTTACAATGACAATGAACCCTCAAAAAAATAAAAGTTCCCAGGAATTTTTTGAATTTAGTGATTTTTTTATGTTCACGGAAATTTTTGTACTAAAATTGTACACCTTTTTGTGGCCTAGTTTACAAAATAGATTTGGTCAATAAGTAGGGAATTAACTTGGAAATTAGTAAAATTAGGGTAAATAGTAGGGAATTAGTGGAATTACTAGGTATTTTTTAAATTAAAATGGAATTATAATATATAAGGGGAATTAGTAAGGAAATAGAGGAATTAGTAGCAATCCTGGGAATTTGTGTACACATTTTCTTTTGCGGTTTACCCCGAGGGGTAAACCGCAGGGGAATTTTGGAGTACAATCTGTAGGAATTAGTAAGGAATTAGAGGAATTTGTGGAAAATTAAAGGAATTAGTGGGGAATTTGGGGAATTACTCGGTAAATTAGTAAGCAAATAGTGGAATTAGTGGGGAATTAGAAAGAAATTAGAAGAAAATTGATGTCTCGTTTAGCACTTGAATATAAAGAAAAAAACAAAAAAAACCCGGAAGTTACAGAGCTACTCCATTCTTTGCCAGTTCCAGATTGGGAGTAGTACCACTGCAGCATTGAAAAAAATGAAGAATGTTGTGTACAGCACACCACCCATATTTTAACAAAAATTAGTACTCGTTTCCTAAAACCAGGAATACATCTGCCAATTGGGAAATACTCTGGTCATCTCAGGGAATTAATTTTAAAGTTTCCAAAAGACGAACATCTCCTGACAGATTCGGATCTCAAAAGTGAAGACAAGATGAATTTTGCATCCGCAGAAAAAATGTGCAGTTTTAATATATAGTATAAAGGATATGCTGAACCGAATTGAGAGAATTAAGACAACTGATACCATAAACAATCTGAGGGGGACTTTTACATTTCCAAGGGAAGACAAAAGATTAAAAACCAGACTAATAAAAGAAAATTTACCACGTGAAGAAGAAATTTTAAATTTGGATATCAAATCTACAGTTAAAAAAGCTCTACAAAATGTCATAGAGGACATGAAACATCTTGGAATTAATGAAAAAGAAAACGATTGGAAATATGCATATATTTCCAATCGTAGGTACCGTTAACCATTAATAAGACGGAAACAAAATATTGCAATTACACAGGATAATGAAGACGCCGGCGAAGACAACGCTAAAATTGTCGAAAACCCCGAAGAAAATTGGCAAAAACAAATATTAGTAATGAGGATGATAAAGTTATGGATGAAGTTATGAACTTAATTTCGAACGAGATTTCTAATGAAGATAGCGAATGTGATACTTTGGAAACGAGTTTTATAAGTTTAAAAGACTTTTCTAAAAAAGTGCACAGTGAATCGGAAAAATCACCGTACCTATATAATATTATATATTCAATTATTAAAAAATTATCGTACTGCTGGCTTTTAGATCAGTCCGACGGTAGAGTAAGTACTGGCCGCTTAAAAAGATTTATAGGCAGTACAAGGAAAACACCGAAGAAAACACCTTGCAAAAATTCCAAGTCGACCTTGACTATAAACAGAAGCTATGCATGGATCAAGCTAGTAGCACAAGCACTGTATCCTCCTCCGACTCTATCGTGATGGAACTCGACGACTCCGATGATTTGGAGGAGTTTTCAGATGAGATCTTGTCGTATAAATCAGAAAATGTATCGAAATTTGCCGGACTCGAGTTACACTTAGAAAACTATTATGCGGTTTTCTATGACCAATCGTGAGCTTTGCTGCACGAGCGAGGCGAATGTAGAACACACTATTTAGAAATAAACAGAAATAAACAAAAATATACCAAACTAAAGACAATAATTGGCTTAATTAATAATATTAATTATTAAAGAACTTATGTTAAGCAAAAGTCGAATTTATGCTGCTAGTGTCATGAAAAAGCATTGATTAATATAATACTTTTCTTTACGATTTTTCAAATGTGCTTAATAAAAGTGTTGCTGGGTAAAAAAGTTTTGCTAACCAGAAAACGTATACTTTTCTTTACTATTTCTCTTAGTAAAGTAAGTATGCTATTTTTCATTAAGAGTACGAACAAATATAGCCTTAAAAAATATACCCTTCAAAAAGAATTACTATAATATTAATGGTAATTATTTATGTTAAAATGTATAGCAAGAAAAAAATAGAAACTAAAACCTTGAAGGTTTAAAAAATAATAGGGATATTTAAAATTTAATTTAAAATTAATTAAAACTTTTTAAACCTCACATTTCTAATACAGACATTATTTTATAAACATGCAAAATATCAATATTAAAAAATACATAGAAGAAAAATCACATGTTAAAAATTCATTTATATCTTATTAAAGTTGACTCGCTAAATACCGTATTTCTAGGATGTCGAAACGGGCCTCAGTCGCTGCTTGCACCTGATTGGCCACACATCGTGGCAAATCAGAGCACGACTGAGGTTCCGTTCGGCTATAAAAGAAACGACGCGAGTCGTTTCAAATCAGTTCCTCTTGAGCTAGTCAAGAGTTAAGTCACCAGTGCCCCTGGTAACAAGCAGCAAACCGTCGAACTTACTACTACTTCCTGGTTTTATTCTTCGACCTGGTTACCCACCAGCAGTTCCTGCCCAAGACCTGTGAACAGGCACCAATTGTTCTTCTTAGAGCAACCGCGACGCAGAACTACGTGGAAGCACCTGGTGTTTCCAACCAGCGATCCTGTCCAAGTCCTGAGTGCAGGCATCAAGAGTTCTTATTAGAACTAAGCACGAGAAGCAGACGTCCAGCAGAGCCCCAGGTCCCTGTCTTCGGCAGTGGCCATTTGGACCGTATCTACGGACGTCGCAGCTTCCAGCGGGGCCGATCCTTGGCCCCCATTAGGGCCGCTTCCAGGCCAGCGAGTGGGCCGATCCCAGGCCAGCGATTGGGCCGATTCCAGGCCAGCCGCAGGGCCGTTCCCAGGCCTGCTTCAGGGCCGTTCCCAGGCCAACCGCAGGGCCGTTCCCAGGCCTGCTTCAGGGCCGTTCCCAGGCCAGCTACCGGGCCGTTCCCAGCCTTCCGCCGCGGCGTAGCTGTCCATGGTCACCACCCGCAGCCAAGCCGCGATGACTGATGACACGGGCACTGACCCGACCCACCTGGTGGATCCAGAGGTGGAAGACTTCCACCAAGCCGAAGATTCTTTCGAGGAGGATGTCAATCTGGACCCCCAGGCTCCCCACGTCAATGGTCAGCCTCTGACGTCGTCAGAAACCACCACTATCCTCGAGGGCCAACCCGGAAGACTACCGGCACCAGGGCCGGCGACTTCCTTGATTCTTCCGACCCCGGAGGACCGTGTACAACAGGAGACGCAATAAGGTCGCGAAATGTAATGACGCAATATTGTATTACGGATATATATACATTATATATATTAGGGTGGTCCTTAATAAGGTTATTTTCAAATTCCTTTGCCCCCAGGGGCTTAAATACTTCCAAATTGATAAAAAAAAAATTCCCTGAAAATTTGAGCTCTTAATATAAACTCTAAGATAGTGCGCATTCCAATCTAAGTTTCCTATGGAAATAACATAGGAAAAATTACTTTTGTTGTTTATAATTTTATAACTTGGGAACGAATGAATTAAAAATTATAAATCATACATATTTTTTTAGAGAATTTAACGCTCTACAAAAAAGGTCTCTTATAATTTTTCCATTAGTCTATTGGTTTAAAAGTTATTCAACGCCAAAGTTTAATTTTCATATTATTATTAATATCATCAAGGCTTTTTTATGAGGCGCCGTTTGTGTCAAAATTAAAAGTGCTAAATAAACTTATTTTGTTTTATAAATAATTAATTATATGCTTTTCCAAATAATTTTTTTATAAAATTATAAAAAAAAAATTTTTTAATTTTATAAAATAAATTTTTTATAAATTTTTTTTTTTATAAAATAATTTTTTTTTTAAATTATTTTTTTATAAAATAATTCTTTTTTATAAAACTATTTTTTTTAATTTTTAGTTTTGTTTCAAGAGAATTGATTTATTTATTTTAATTTGTTTTCAAGAGAATTATTTTATTTATTTATTTTAGTTTTTAACAAGTGCTTTCTTATAAAAAACGTTTAAACATAAAGAATTCTTGTTAAAAACTAAAAATCAAAATAAATGTAGATAAAAAAATTAATGAATTCATGAATAAAAATAATAAATTATTATTTTCAATCGTTTCGCCAAATTGCGTCAAACAAAAGCCCAATCCGTCATAAAATTGTATCTGGCTGGCTGCAGTAAAAATTAATTTATAAAGGCGCCCGTCGTCTTTTTTTAAATAATTTTTGATTCGAATTGAAAATTATTTTATAAAAAATATTTTTAAAAAAAATTATTTTATAAAAAAATTATTTATTTATTTACAAAAAAAAATTATAAAAAAATTATTTTAAAAAAAATTATTTTATAAAATTTTTTACAAAAAAAAATTATAAAAAAATAATTTTATAAAAAAATTATTTGGTAAAGCATATAATTAATTATTTATACCTAAAACAAAATAAGTTTATTTAGCACTTTTAATTTTGACACAAACGGCGCCTCATAAAAAAGCCTTGATAATATTAATAATAATATGAAAATTAAACTTTGACGTTGAATAACTTTTAAACAAATAGACTAATGGAAAAATTATAAGAGACCTTTTTTGTAGAGCGTTAAATTCTCTATAAAAATATGTATGATTTATAATTTTTAATTTGTTCGTTCCCAAGTTATAAAATTATAAACAACAAAAATAATTTTTCCTATGTTATTTCCATAGGAAACTTAGATTGGAATGCGCACTATCTTAGAGTTAATATTAAGAGCTCAAATTTTCAGGGAATTTTTTTTAATTAATTTGGAAGCATTTGAGCCCCTGGGAGCAAAGAAATTTGAAAATAACTTTACACCCTAATATACAGGGTGTCCCAAAAGTCAACGATATCCTTTGGAGGAATGATGGACCAACTCATGACCAACCAGAAAATCAAAACATGACCTAAGTAAAAAATCGTTAGTTTTTGAGATATAGTCATTTTTATGAATTTTGTAAAACTTGACACCTAATATCAGTTTTTCGAGGGGCACAGCTACAAAATTCCATATTCTTAGATTATATTTTATGTTGTGCAATCCTAAAAATGCCTGCTATTGATTACAGTTCAAAATAAAACTAATAGTAGTTTTGTACCTTTTGAAAACAAACATTTTTGCCCGATTTTATAAGTTTTTTTTATTAGCTAACTTAGACCGTTCAGACTGTATAAAAATATGTCACGCAAACTTGGCAAGTATTTTAAAAATTGCTAATTTAGTGTAATAGCTATTATCTAGGTATGCCATGTTATACTTAAAAAAAAAAGATATTGCTGTTTTACTGCAAAACGAGTTTATTGTTAAATTATTTCAATATTTAGGAATTTAAACAAAAACACTTCTTTAATGAAAATAACAGATATTTAATTAAAAACAAATGAATCACAAATAAAAATTAAAGAATGTGTTCAAAATGCCTGCCACCAAGTCGAATGCAAGCGCGGCATCTTTTTAAAAAGGATAATTTTATCTGTCTTGCACTTTCTGCGTCTTTTATTTGTTGTGCGGCTTCATTAATTTGGTATCTCAATTCATGTACGTTATGAATTACTATTCCATAGACTATTTCCTTTATGCAACCCCAGTAAAAAAAATCGAGAGGATTTAGATCCGGAGACCGGAAAGGCCACAAAATGGGACCAAGACGGCCGATCCATCTCTCTGGATAAACCTCATCCAAATAATTTCCGAGCGTAATGAGCTGGACAACCATCATGTTGAAGCCACATTGCCCTGCGTGTGGCGACAGGCACATCATCCAAAAGATTTGTCAGTTCGTTTTCCAAAAACTCTTGATAATTTTCCCCATTTAAATTTTCAGGTAATTCAAAGGGACCGATTATTTGGCCGTTCAAGATGCCGGTCCACAAATTCACTTTAAAACGATACTGTGACCTTTCTTCTCGAATTAAATGTGGATTTTCAAGTGCATAATAATGAAGATTATGCATGTTCATAAAACCATCTTTATGGAATGTGCATTCATCAGTCCATAAAATTTTATCCAGGAACTCTGGGTCGTCCCTATGTTTCTGCAACATTCTGCGGCAAAATTGGACACGTCTTGCGTAGTCACGAGGAAGCAACATTTGCACACGCTGTACGTGATATGGGTGATACTGATACCGTCGTGAAATTCTGTTTGCAGTGGATTTCGGTATTTTTGTACGCCTTTCAATTGCTCGCGCCGAAGTAGTTGGGTGATTTTCAATTTCTTGCAAAACCTCTTCATCATAATCCATACGTGGTCTTCCCATTCTACCACGTTTGTGAGGCATTCTGCCTTCAGCGTATGCTTGGTGAACATTTATAAAGACGCGATAATCAGGATATCTTAAAGCATTCGGGTATCTTTCCCGATACAGGTTGGCGGAAGCTACACCATTACCTCTGCATTCACCATAAATGTAATGCATGTTTGCATATTCCTGAGCAGTATACTGGTACGGCATAATGAGTAGTCAAACGTCAAACGTCAAACACGGAACACAAACACACAATCGAAGGGGCAAGTGGATAAAGTAGTTTTGATAATAAAGAACAAAAATATTGTAATTGTTATTAAAATTAAATTTTGTGTTGAAATTACAATATTTTTTGTTTAAAGGTGTCATCCTACATTTAAGTTTAGAAAGAACAAACAATATTGTGGTTGTAAATAAAAATAAATTTGGTATTGCAATTACAATATTTTCTTGGATGATGTGCCTGTCGCCACACGCAGGGCAATGTGGCTTCAACATGATGGTTGTCATTACGCACGGGAAGTAAGAAATTATTTGGATCAGGTTTATCCAGAGAGATGGATAGGCCGTCTTGGTCCCATTTTGTGGCCTCCCCGGTCTCCGGATTTAAATCCTCTAAATTTTTTTTACTGGGGTTGCATAAAGGAAAAAGTCTTTGGAATAATAATTCATAACGTACATGAATTGAGAGACCAAATTAATGAAGCCGCACAACAAATAAAAGACGCAGAAAGTGCAAGACAGATAAAACAATCCTTTTTAAAAAGATGCCGCGCTTGCATTCGACTTGGTGGCAAGCATTTTGAACACATTCTTTAATTTTTATTTGTGATTCGTTTGTTTTTAATTAAATATCTGTTATTTTCATTAAAGAAGTGTTTTTGTTTAAATTCCTAAATATTGAAATAATTTAACAATAAACTCGTTTTGCAGTAAAACAGCAATATCTTTTTCTTTAAAGTATAACATGGCATACCTATTACACTAAATTAGCAATTTTTAAAATACTTGCCAAGTTTGCGTGACATATTTTTTTACAGTCTGAACGATCGAAATTTGCTAATAAAAAAAACTTATAAAATCGGGCAAAAATGTTTGTTTTCAAAAGGTAAAATACTACTATTAGATTTATTTTGAACTGTTATCAATAGCAGGCATTTTTAGGATTGCACAACATAAAATATAATCTAAGAATATGGAATTTTGTAGTTGTGCCCCTCGAAAAACTGATATTAGGTGTCAAGTTTTACAAAATTCATAAAAATGACTATATCTCAAAAACTAACGATTTTTTACTAAGGTCATGTTTTGATTTTCTGGTTGGTCATGAGTTGGTCCATCATTCCTCCAAAGGATATCGTTGACTTTTTTTATTAGGGTGATTCAAAAAAAGTGACTTCTCTTATATTTTTGATTACACCCCCTCATTTGGTAGTTTACTCTATAAAAAGAAGAATGCGACTTGGAAAATCGAAATAAAAAAAAAATTAGAGGTCGCTCAAGTCGATTTTAGTTTTTTTTGCCGAAAAAAAGAAAATTTTTGTTGAATCTTCAATGTCCTGTAAAATCGACAAATTTAAATAAAATTGCATAAAATTTTAACAGATTAGTGAATCTTTATAGTTTACGAAAATATTGTTAATTTTTTAAATTTAAAAAAAAAAATTTTTAATTTTTTTTATCAAGGAAAAATCTTTTGTTTATAACAATTGAGCGCCTGTCGCGCACGACGTATTGTGCATGTGGAAATATTCTTAGGCGTTCCTAGAACGTATTTCAATCGTAAAAACTGTGCGCAAAACATAAACAAATAGCTGAATGAATTTTTTCTTTAAATATCAGACAAAATTAAAACTTTTTTTGAGAACAAAATCTTTAATATGGTTTGGATATAACAAATAGATATTTTTTATTAAAAAAAAAACTTCTTTTATCTTATTTGTATTTGTAAAAAATAATTTATATTTTATTGTTTACGTATTACACGATTTAACTTTAAAGTATAGTTTACGCCATGTTAATGAGATTTCTCGTTACCTAATCGTTTAATGCTAATCATCTTAAAGCCTGATTTATAGATTTCCTTTTTTCTTCCTTTCGCCTGACCGTAAAACATAAACAATACACAAGCTGTTGTAACATTTACAAATTGACTGCGTATAAATGCAACTACGGTTTACGTGTTGTTTATATTTCACGATCGGGCGGGAAAAGGAAGAAAGGCAATCTATAAATCAGGCTTAAGAGGTACAAACTGTAGTCTTATGAATTCATGAAGAACATAAGAAATATATATAAATAAAAAATAATTTTTGTTAGCTTTTATTTGAAATTTATTAGTGAAACAAATACCCTATAAAATTAAAACATAAAACACTTTTGAGAAAAAAATTTACTATTTTTTGCTTATCGCATAGGAAATAGTTTTTTATTCGCATTCGGAATTTGTTTGCGATGCTTTTGCACACTTTGGAAAAGGGCTTGTTTTTGTTTTTCATTGACTGTATGTATTTGATTATATTTTTGGACCAAGGAAACCCCCCTTTCTGCAACATCGTTGACCACTTTTAACCACATGTTTCGCATCTTGGTAGCTTTTATCGTCTTCCCATTTCATTGGGTCTATTTCCAGAAGCCACTTCGAATCTATATTCAAAATTTCAAAAAACCGGATGCTTCTGGCTGAAACGAAGTGTTCTAACCTTAAATTTTCAATATCACTTTTACAAACAATTGCTTTTATTTTTCTGCTTTCGATGGGTGTGAGATTTTCTTTAACAAAACAGGGATTTCCAGTTTTAAATACTTCAACCATTTGTTTTTTTGTTTTTTCATCTACTCTATTATCAAATAGAGAGAGAAAAATCATTTCTTCTCCTAAATACCATAGATGACCCGAAAACTTTTTGATTGCAGCTTGAGCTACTTCGGGATCAACTTTTTCATAGGACAAAAGTCTTTTTAAAAACCGCACATCGTTTTCTGGAGCACGAATTGGAAAAGGAGCTTCGAACCAGCCAAATACATAAGTGGACACGATAAAGGATGCAATCCTACTGAGAGACTTTTTTTCTACCCTTGTCAGAGCGAATTGAGTTTGAAACATAAAAATTTTTAAAACGTAAATAGCTTTCGCCATCCAACGGGCTCGGTGGAAAGCTCCAGGGGCTCTAAATGTGGGTTTTTTGTTATGACCTGAAGAAAAATGTTCTACATTTTAAGGAATAATTGGATTTTTTATAATACCTATGAATGTCAATACTAAATCCAGCAATTCTTTATAATCGTCCCTCGGCTGACTTCTTTTTAACATATTCTGAACAAATTCCAGTATTTCTGTTCCTTGCGAATCAATTACTGTTCAAATTATCCATTTTACCATCACAAAACATCTTATGATCAAGACTTACCCAATTCTTTTGAAATCTTTGAAAAAGTTGAATATTTGGACCTGACGATGAAGGCATGCACATTGAAAAACAAGCTTCCAGTACAAGTTCGAAAATATGGTGTCGGCAAGCAAAATAAAGCAAATCTTTCATTATTATTTTTTGCAGTAATACACACGCTCCATTTTTATTTCCGGTATTGGAAATCGTGGTATCGAAACCCATCCCGCAAATTATTTTTTCCAAATTCCAGTTCTTGAGCGATTCAAAAACAGCAATTCCCATTTGTTTTCCGCTGGAACTGGATATTGCAGGCGCTTGAAGAAGTTGTTCCACTTTATCTGAGTTTGTGACTATGACCGGCAACCTATCTATCAATTTTCTTCCTAAAATTTCGAATATTTATAAAATTATAATTTAAAGTTATTTTTAAATTAAGTAATTTATCAGTGATAAATTATTTAATTTAAAAATATCTTTAAATTATAATTATCACAAAAATGTTGTTTACTTTTAAATTAATCCAACTTTTACCATCAACGCCATCGTCACAATTCTTAAATAAACCTAGATCATATTTAAATTTGCAAATTATGTGATGGGGTTTCTCACAGGCTCAATCCAAACAACTCTTTAATTATGTCAAAGTTTTTTTATAATTATATATAAACGTTAGAACATTTAATTGTGAGGTGGAATTGGAATATAAGTCGAATAATATGAATTATTACCTGAACCAGATGGCATTAATTTGCTGTCCCAGTGGACTGTGAGTGGAGCCTGTATTTTGATCGATTTTTTTAATTCTTCAGCAGATTTTAAACGATTTTTTTCACGCATGCGCCTCAGTGTTGAAAAACTAGGAGCCGAGTCGTCGACGTTTTGGCCAAGTGAATTTGCCACTGCTGCTAACATCATTGCACCTTTTCTATCGCTTGTTTTAGTTCTATCAAACATTGAAAGAACGTTCTCATCAATGCTTTTTTCAAATTAGATCCATTTGATGTAGAGGGATTATAGAAGCTGTAATCTTCTTCTAGGTCTGTCTTCATACTCAAGCTACTTGAAGTATTCGATGAAAGTTCAGAATCGTTTAGCTCTTCTGATTCGACAGTTGAAATACTGGAAGTAAGGATAATACAGTAAATATCACTGAAACTATGGAAAAATATATAATATATACATTGTATATGATTATTAATCATTCATTAAATACATGTTTTTTGTGTTTTTCTTATATTTTTCGATTTTCTGACGTCGTTCAACACGTCCAGGTCGTCCTTTTTGACGATGGATAATCAAAAACTCTTTTAATTTAGGATCTTTAATTATTTTCATGACGCTCCCATGAGCTATGTCGAATAGATCATCGGGAGTCGAAATAAACATGTTTATATTTTCTTTTTGTTTCTTGGATTCACGATATTTATTCTTCTTTAAACAACGCCATGCGTTAAAAATATTTTTTATTTTTTCTATTACACGATATTTTTAACATGTTGGTATCTTCGAGCGTTTCCAGCAATAGACTATTTCTTCAGTTACATATTTCGCACTTTCTTGAATGTTTTTTTTATCTTCAAAATGATGGTATCCAAACCTAGCTAAAACTTGGCGTTTTGATGGCAAGTAGCTTTGAGAAAATTTCCGAATTTCAGATCCAACAATCCACATTCTAAAATATATGACATATAGGTCATTACAAACCAGATCACCCAATCATGTTGCTCCTTTTTAGCATAATCTGCGGTTAAATTTATTTTAAGCCAACCATAATGAAGTAATCTGGTTTAAACATTTAAAATACATAAACCCCTAAATAACAGCTTTTAATTAAATAATTTTAATTTTTTTATACGGACATATTTAGGTAATTAGGTAATTTAAAGCAAACTACACATTAATCTAAAAAAAAATCCAAAAAAATAAACCGAATTTAAAAAAATATTTTTTTTTTTTAAGTTTGAGAAAATGCTCTGAACTTATATGTTTTAATAGTATATAACAATGGGAGAGGAAAAGTGTTTCATAACTAGTCGAGAGATTAGGTAGTTTATCGAGACGCGTAGACTCGAGAGAAACTATAACTATTCATAAATCTCGAGACAGTAATGAAATTTCCTTCGAGTACTGTATATTATTTTTTAAGAGTATATAATCCCTCATATCTTTTATTTTCAACCATGTTTTAGTAGGAAAAAACCTTATAATATGGTTATAAAATTTATAGGTTTAAATACAAATTTCAGATCGGCAACCCAGTTTTCACCATACACATTGCCTAAAGGCAATGATTTAAATGGTGTTATTTAATAAAACCATTTAGTATGGTGCAAACTGGGATATCGATCTGAAATTTTTATTTAAACCTATTTTGATTAACTACAGTTGAAGCTCTTAGTGCAATTTTTTTTAAGAATCGATTTTTTCCATTAATTATAAAAAACTTAACTTATTTTATAAAGTATTTTTAAAATTAATGTATTAAGCAAAGAACTAAATTGGAAAATCCTAATAGTGCCTTTATTTAAGTTGAGAAAGTAAGTTTATTGATTTCAAGCAACTTAAACCTTAAAAATTAAAAGAATATGATGAAAGAAATTAAAACAGCTGTCACTTTTCCTGTCTTGGCAAGAAAAGTGACAGTTTTGCCTGCCTAGACAGGAGAAGTAATACTTTCTCGATTTTAAAAAGGCTGCAATATTAATATTACATACATGTTTAAAAATAAAGATTCGTTTTTGAGATTATAGTATTTATATTTTCAAATACATATTTTAAAAACTGATCATAATTGTTTCTATTAACTTAATTTTCTGTGAGTTCTATCGATTATTAAATTATTCCGAATACCAGAGATATCTCTGCGAATACTTACTTGTCTTATCTGCAGTACAAGGTCGAAAAAATATTTTGTATTAAAAAACGATTTCAATCCAACAAATTTTTTGACAAAAAAAGACGAAATTACTTCGTTTTTGTATACCAGACTAATCAACTTTGAAAAATTTTGAAAACAAAAGCATGAATCGAGTCACGGCATTTGCCGGCAGATGGCGTTAGTTTGAATAAATTTCAAATGAGAACGAATAAAAATTGTTTTTTTGCAGCTAAATTATTTTTTATGTTCTTTATGAGAGTACAGTTTGTAACTCTAAGTCTAAATTATAGATTGCCTTCCTGTTACCGCCCGCCTGTGAAACATAAACGACACGTAAGTCGTAGTTGCATTTATAGATAAACGCCGTCAATTTGTAAATGCTACAAACGGCTTGCGTATTGTTTATGTTTTACGATCAGGAGGGAGGAAGAAAGAAGGCAATCTATAAATCAGGCTTTAAGATGATTAGCATTAAACGATTAGGTAACGAGAAATCTCATTAACATGGCGTAAACTATACTTTGAAGTTAAATCGTGTAATACGTAAACAATAAAATATAAATTATTTTTTACAAATACAAATAAGATAAAATAAGTTTTTTTTTAATAAAAAATATCTATTTGTTAAATCCAAACCATATTAAAGATTTTGTTCTCAAAAAAAGTTTTAATTTTGTCTGATATTTAAAGAAAAAAATCATTCAGCTATTTGTTTATGTTTTGCGCACAGTTTTTACGATTGAAATACGTTCTAGGAACGCCTAAGAATAATTCCACATGCACAATACGTCGTGCGCGACAGGCGCTCAATTGTTATAAACAAAAGATTTTTCCTTGATAAAAAAAATTAAAAATTTTTTTTTTTCAAAATTTAAAAAATTAACAATATTTTCGTAAACTATAAAGATTCACTAATATTCTGTTAAAATTTTATGCAATTTTATTTAAATTTGTCGATTTTAAAGGACTTTGAAGATTCAACAAAAATTTTCTTTTTTTCGGCAAAAAATCGACTTGAGCGACCTCTAATTTTTTTTTTATTTCGATTTTCCAAGTCGCATTCTTCTTTTTATAGAGTAAACTACCAAATGAGGGGGTGTAATCAAAAATATAAGAGAAGTCACTTTTTTTGAATCACCCTAATATATATATATATATATATATATATATATATATACGGCAACACTGTAGGATGCAATAAAGTCTGTACAAGCCATATAAAATTTAAAATGAAATATACACGTGACGCAATATTATATCAAGATTTAAATGAGTTGATAATGTAGTGACTTTTGAAAAAAAAGTGTATATCTTATTTTTTAAGATAAAAAAAATCTGACCAGATTTTTGGAATCAGCAAAAAAAAGTACGCCAATATACTCTTCTATATTTTCGCTAAATACCGTATTTCTAGTAGACGCAATAAGGTCGCGAATTGTAATGACGCAATATTGTATTAGGGATGTATATATATTAGGGTGTCCCTTATTTTTTTTTTACGCATACCCTCTAATTATATTTATTACGTGTTTATATACTCCCAGTAAAAATTTCAGCTCATTCTATAAACGGGAACCCGTGCCGACTTGCATCTGAACCCTCCGTTAGCCAACGTTAGGCGCGCGGTTATTATGTGACCTTATATTATAAATTATTGACAAATGTTAAAATATAGTTTTATTTATGTGTATACTTTGTATACTTTGATAAAAATGTATATTTTCACAGGGAGTGGCTAGTTACCCGGAAGGGTCTGGTGAATAGGCCGTAAACTCTGAAATTGATAAACTTAATGGGTTTTACTCTAAATAACTAAAAGAGTCTATTTTGAGAGATGACTACCGAAAACCTATTGAACTGTCTGAAATATTTTTGTGAGGACATCAAGAAAAGAAATGCTTATAAAAAGCTGAAATTTTATATAACAGTATATTTTAGCAATACTAATTAGTATATTAATATATTTAAGTGATAAAATCAACTAAATTAGTGACACAAATGATAGAAACAAAAGCAATAATATTAATTAGTAATCATATTTAATAAAATCATTATAAAAATACAGTCATGAAGTATATCTTCTTTTTAAAGTGTTTCGTGTTAAAAAATACCGAGCGCGCCTAACGTTGGCTAACGGAGGGTTTAGATGCAAGTCGGCACGGGTTCCCGTTTATAGAATGAGCTGAAATTTTTACTGGGAGTATATAAACAAGTAATAAATATAATTAGAGGGTATGCGCAAAAAAAATAAAAATAAGGGACACCCTAATATATATATATATATATATATATAGATTTGTTTGACCGCACATACAGACCCAAATCGTCATACTTCGCCGCCTATACAGACCAAAATTGACGTTTTCAGGCCCGGCTTCGGGACTGAAAAAGTTAATCATAGTATGGAAATCAGGGGGGTTGGTGGATGCAGGGGGTAAATTTTTAGGTGGGCTTGAAAAGGCGGTGAAACATGATGAAATATACAGATTTAGTTCACGGTTCAGCCAGTTCGAGGGCGCCTCGGTCGGGCTCAGCTAGCTGTATATATTCGGCATAGTTAAACTACGTCTTCAAACCCTAAATTTGGCAACGCCGCGGCGTTGGCATATAAATAATGAATATGTATTTTACAGCTCTGATACAGTCCCGATATGCTCTTTACCATTTGGTCCAAAATCACATTTTCCCTCCTGAACGGAGATAAGTAAGCTTCAGATAGTAAAAAAAAAGGAAAATCTACTTTATCAAATTTTGAGGGTTATACTTTTAAATATTCGTCAGTAAAATTGAAATGTTAAATAAAATATTTAACACAATATATTATTTTTTTAGTATACATTTTTGGTAAATATTACTGTAAAAATATTAGTAGATCGTAATTTTTAATATGGTTGTATGGATGTGATTTACGTATAGTAATATTTATTGTATTATACAAAATATAAATATTCAGTTAATAAAAAGATTTGCGAAATATCTCAAGATTATAAAGAACCTCTGTGGACCATGTAGTTAATAATTTTAATGGCAAGTA